CCCCAGCCCCTGCACGATGCGGATGGTGGCGGCCGGCTTGGCCTCGTCGGATGCCACCGTGGTGATGGCTTTGCTCTTCTGGTCGGCCACCGTCATGCCCAGGGCGGGCATGAGTCTGAACGCGGAGCTCGGGGGCTCCGCGGGCTTGAGGTCGGGAGTCACTTTGACCACGGTGCTTCCCGCCGCGCTGGAAGCGGCCGACGTGGCCGTGCTGGTCTTGGCCGGAGAGTCGGCGGCCTGGACAGGGTTGGACGTCACGTGCAAAGTTGCGGAGAGGCCTTTGGCGCCGGCGCCGCTTCCCGCGGCCGCCGTGAAAAGGTCCTGAGTGAGTTTGACAGTAGTGACTTGAGATTTGGCCAGCGTGGCCATCATGTCCGGGGTGATGCGCAGCACCGTCTGGCCCTTGGCGTCCGTGGTGATGGAGGAGGGCGGCAGGCGCAGCACGTCCTTTCCTTGGATCCGAAAATTGGTAGCCGTGAGGGGAATACTGCTTCCTGGCTGCGTCTTCATGCCGAGCTGCCCTGTAATAGCCACCTGCAAGAGACCAGAGAGGCAACTCCATCAAACCCGACCACAGGCACAGCCAGAAAGAAAACCTCCCAAGAGGAAGTGAATCAAGTCACACAGTAACACGGCCCACTACAACTTTCATAATTTTTACGTATTTGCCTATCAAGTCTGTCAAAAACAGGAAACAGCCAAGGCACCGAGTGAGTCCCCGTGCTCCTCTCACCTGCTTGATGATATTCTGGCCAGCCACGTTCTGGATGACAGTGGTAGAGGACGTGCTTGGAGCAGAGCTGCCCGGAGAGCTGGTCACTGGCTTCAGAGCAGCGCTGGGGGCTGCCGACAGCCCTGCCACGGCAATGCCCGTCTGTCCCGTCATGGAGGCGCCCGCTCTTTGCACCTGCACGGGGCTGGTTTGAGCTTTCACTGGCAGAGTCATCACAGCCTGCAGAGAGACACAGAGACAGCTCATGAACAGCCTAATACAACACTAACGGATTAATACTCATCCCTTTTGTGTCATGCCTTAGCCTTTGTAAGTTCTATGGACTTTTTTGCTGTTAAGCTTTGTTAGCAGCGTCACAGAAACAAAAATAAAAGGGGAGCAAAAGAGGGACCCAGGAGTACTATGCACAACTGCTTCTAGCTACCTGCACGGTCCAAGGAGGCAAATAAGCCCTGCTCACCACTTCAAGAACACCACGGGCCCCACGGGACAGAAACGACTGTTACTTGGCTGTTTCCAGGCAGTCTCACCTGAGGCAGCACCTTGGTTTGCGAGGCCGTGGCAGGAACGCGGATCGGAGGCGCGGGCGCAGGCGGTGGCTGCTGCTGCGTCACCACGGGCGCCTGCTGAGCCCCCGCGGGGAGGCTGCCCGGGGCCGTGACCACCCGCACCTG